GGGGGGGGGGGCTAATTGAGTTTAGGGGGGCGGGCTAATTGAGTTTCTTCCGTCAACACAACGGAAAACAATAAAAAAAGCAGTTCTAACTATTAAATTAGTACAAAATAGCACCAAAATGAAACAACTGGAATCAAATCACAGGCTAACCACTCTAATAAATGAAGGAAATACTAAATGGTGTCTTGTCTTTGTCTTTTTATGCGCGCGCGCTATCGATTTTTTGTCATCTCACCTACCCCCCTTGGTAATAATTGTTTTTCTACTATACAATTACTATACAATATACAATTTTGTTTTTCTACTAAACAATATACAATTTTGTTTTTCTACTATACAATATACATTAGTATATTGTATAGTAGAAAAACAAACTTATTACCAAGGGGGGAAGGTGAGATGACGAAAAATCGATAGCGCGCGCACATAAAAAGACAAGACACCATTTAGTATTTCCTTCATTTATTAGAGTGGTTAGCCTGTGATCAAATGTGAATACGTTTACGATGTTTTTACTGCTATTTAGTTTTTGCGCTTTTTCGCGGATCATGACGAGCTTTGCTCAAGAAAAAAAACACCTCTGTGGGAGATATACTTTAGGTGTGATGTAACGTCCATCATTTAGTGTACGTGTTAATCCTGTTGTCAATATACAGGTATTTTTTGTAATCAGAGATGGCGCACTGTGTGCAATAATTATAAGCAATTCCATAACCCTGAACCGGTAAAGTAGCCAGGTTTTCTTTCATTTCGCAGTTATTATGCCTCAGGCTAACTGTAGAGGAATTTCGTTTTTTTATACATCGCGAGCAGATATTTCAAACAAACTCCCCTTGCTACTAAATGTATAAAACCAAAATTTCTTTCCTTCCCTAGTTCTTTACATTTTCTCCCCTACCAAAGGAAAATCTGCGGCTGGGAGCAATATTTTATGTGATTCATTACCCAAAAAGTTTATCAATAATAATTTATRATTTCGTCTTTCAATGTAAATTCATATATTTCTAAACAAAGATTAATAAAAATGTTGTTAGGGACGGACCATTAGATAGTTCATGGGGGAGGGGGGGGGGGGGTTGCGTAAGTCCCCAAAAAATATCAAGCAAGTACTTAAACTTCAAAAAAATATCGTGCAACCTCTTCTGCTAGAAGAAAAGTATCTAACTGTACGCAAAAAAATAACGGGCAAGGGTTGAGCCAAAAAATAGATATCATGCAACCA